GCTATGTTGCCCAGGCTGGACTCGAACTCCTGAGCTCAAGCAATCCTCTCGCCTCAGCCTCTGGAGTAGCTGGGACTACAGGTGTACCACTGAGCCCTTCCCCTTAGGGGCTTTCTTGAACCCAGAATCAGTCTAATAGAAATGATGATGCTAACATTTGAGTGCTTGCAATGTCATTCCCACAAAAATCCTATTAAGTAGCTTAGCCTCAATTAACACTTAAGGACCTTAAGGTTTAGAAAGGTTAGTTAACTGACCTGCATGAGGCACACAGCTGTACGCTCATTCAGATGGAGGAGTTTCCACTTGAATGCAGACCATTTGACTTCCCAGCAGCTCTCTCAATCACTGTGCCATGGTACAGCAGTTTTTCAAAATTTAGGTCACAACCCATTAATGGATCCTAAGTAACTGGAAATTTTGTTTGGATTTTGTTTTAATATAAACTAGATAATATCAGAATGTATTACACATATACTTTTTCATAAAACTTACGTTTCAGTTATATATATGTATGTTATATGTGTGTTGGGTCATGAAAAAAATGTATTTCTCAATGTGATTCTGTTCAAAACAGTTTGAAAGCCCCTGCTGTACTGTACTTCCAGCAGTCCAAAGCAGCCAGGATTCTACTCCAAGTCCTACTAACTAAGGCTCTCCAAAGTCAAATGTACCTTTCAAAACTGGCTGGCCGAGGTGGCTCACGCCTGTAATCCTAACACTCTGGGAGGCCAAGGCGGGCGGATTGCTCGAGGTCAGGAGTTTGAAACCAGCCTGAGCAAGAACCAGATCCCATCTCTACTATAAATAGAAACGAATTGGCTAACTAATATATATAGAAAAGAAATTAGCCGGGCATGGTGGGGCATGCCTGTAGTCCCAGCTACTAGGGCGGCTGAGGCAGAAGGATCACTCAAGCCCAGGAGTTTGAGGTTGCTGTGAGCTAGGCTGATGCCACAGCACTCACTCTAGCCTGGGCAACAGAGTGAGACTCTGTCTCAAAAAATAAATAAATAAAATAAATAAAATAAATAAAAAAATAAAAATAAAACAAAGGCACCTCCTGATGCTAGCCCAAATACTAAAATAAACAAGAAAGAAATTCCAAAGCCCTCAGGCCAAAAAAGTCACCAACCTTCCAAAGCCCACAAAACACAGAAGTTCCTAAAAAATTACCTAACTCTTTACTGTCCTTGAGGCTTTGTGGGTGATTATGCACCCAGGGAAAACAAGGACAAGTCAGAAAGAAAGAAAATAACATTAATTGAGCACCTATTAAGTGTTCCAAACTTACTTGTCCTATCTCCAGACATCAGCCCCTCATTCAGTCTTTGAGATAAGATGTCCAGTCTTTTCCTGTTGCAATGCATTTCCTCCTCTCCCCATTGTCCCTCCAGTTTGGCATTTCTGTGGCAGCTCCTTCCATCTGCCAGGAAACCTACCCTTCCTGTAGACTATAACAGGATGTGGGGCCTAATGCCCTGCAAACATTTAAAACAAACAAGTACCACATCCGGAAGAAGGGCTGGGATCCTAGCTCTTCCTGGTCGGTGTCTAAGGGAGAGGGCTTTCAGCTGAGTGTTAGGAATCCTATGGAATTATTTGCAAAATAATAGATATGTTTTTCTGGGTCAGAGTTCATAGGTTTTATCTGATTGGGAAGGAAAATAAAGCTGGGAGGTGGGGCTAATGACTTAGTTTTACTAAGTAATTACCCAAATACTTAGAAATGGTGCCAGTACATAAGAGGTTGGTTGCCTTTCAAGGGGTAAGCATAGGACAGACACCTCTCCCTGGTCCTAAGAACTCCCTGGGATACCCAGCTGCAGTGGGAAAGTCCAGTTATTAATTACTTATATCTAGCATGAATGCAGGAGGGCCATGAGGAACTACCCTATTCTAGCAGAATTAAACTGCAGCTGTCTCAGCTTTAGATAGAGATGTGTGTGCCCACCTTATAGATGGCACGGAACAAATATTTATTAAACAAAAGAATGGCCTTAAATCTAAGCAGTTCATTGGAGACTCACTTCCTTGATTTTGTTGTAAACTTTCACTGTATCATGATGACTTTCCTTTTTTTAATGTAAGTAGTTAATATTTGTAAAGTACTAAGAACAGTGCCTAGCACAAAATAAATGCCACAAATGTGTTTTGTTAGACAAAGACAAACATCTGGACTGACTGCATTGTATTGTGTTCAGATTTTCATTTCTATGGCCAATTCACATGCATAAAGCCAGAGCCAAGCACTATGCTTGGCACAGAGAGGTCACTAAGTGGTCACTGAGTAAAGGAACAATCCTTTCACACCCATTGTTTCTCTTTAAATTCTTACTATAAGCCCGTGAAGTCTGTTGGATAAGAACTGTTCTCCAATTTTCTTTTAATACATGAGGAAAATTAGAACCTAATTCATCTCCAGAAAACTTGGACTCTAAACCTTTTAGATCCTAAAAGGTGAAGGACCTTGTCCAAAATCAATTTCAGAGCCCCACCTGGAACCCAAGATTCCTGGAGACAAATAATTTTCCTGCCCCGGTCCCCTCCCTCCATAGCGTGTAGCTCTTCCTCACATACACCATTGGTAGGTGTCTCCTGAACATCATTTTGTAGACTAAAAAAATTCTGAAAAGTACAGTAAATGCATTATTTCAGTCAAAAGTTCAGTCTTTATTACTAGATAGATGTTTTGTCTTGAATTTCTGCATTCTTTTCAATAGATGCTGTAAGTTATGGGGAGGGGCAAGTAGCTAGGCTGTATGTTATGGGGGCGGGAGGAGAGGAGGGAAGGAAAGTGTCCAATTTTAGAGTCCAGGTTTTCTGGAGGTGAATTAGGGTCTAGTTTTTCTCATATATTAATTTCCACAGAAATAGAAATTAACTGGTGGACGGCTGATAGTGATACTCATGTTTCTTACCCATAGCAATGAAAATCATTCTTGTTCATGGAGATGAAAATGAATTTTGTCCAATGGAAAATATAAATATTTTTTAGTCCTAATTCTCATTTGAACTGGTAATAACATCTTACTGGTTCTATCATTAATTATTGAGTGAAGCAAAATCTTTGAGACATGTTTATTTTCTATGTATACAAGAGTCGTAGTTTTACCTTCTTTCAAAAAAGTTATCTTTTAGCCGGGCTCAGTGGCTCACGCCTGTAATCCTAGCACTGTGGGAGGCGGAGGCAGGCGGATCGCTCAAGCTCAGGAGTTCGAAGCCAGCCTGAGCAAGAGCGAGACCCTGTCTCTACTAAAAATAGAAAGAAATTAATTGGCCAATTAAAATATATATAGAAAAAAGTAGCTAGGCATGGTGGCACATGCCTGTAGTCCCAGCTACTCCAGAGGCTGAAGCAGGAAGATCACTTGAGCCCAGAAGTTTGAGGTTGATGTGAGCCAGGCTGATGCCACAGCAACAGAGTGAGACTCTGTCTCAAAAAATAAAAAAAGTTATCTTTTAACATTAATACTCATTTCTTTGTAGTATTATCATCTCTGGCATGGTGCCAAGCCCAGAGGATGTTTTTAATAAATGCTTATTGAATGGAGGACTGCAAAGTTGCAAAACAGCCTAGACAGAGACAACAGATGTCTATAAAATCAGATAAAACAAAAAGGTGCCCTGGACAACACCTAGTATGATAGAAAAGGCAACCTATTTGCCCATCTACAAAGTCTTTTACAATTTCTCTTCAAATAAAAATGGTGCAAAGAAATGGTATGGATGAGAGCAAAGAAATCATTCTCAGTCAAAGTGTCATATCAGGAAAGGTTTTGTGAGGAGTTAACATTAATTTTGGACTTAAAAGAATGAATAGAGTTTCTTTATGTGGAGAGATGAAGAAAAGGGAGTTTCTTTTTTGAGACAGAGTCTGGCTCTTTTGCCCGAGCTAGAGTGCCATGGCGTTAGCCTAGCGCACAGCAACTTCCAACTCCTGGGCTAAAGAGATCCTTCTGCCTCAGCCTCCTGTGTAGCTGGGACTACAGGCATGCACCACCATGCCCGGCTAATTTTTTTCTATATATTTTCAGTTGGCCAATTAATTTCTTTCTATTTTTAGTAGAGACGGGGTCTCGCTCTTGCTCAGGCTGGTCTGGCACTCCTGAGTTTGAGCAATCCGCCCGCCTCCGCCTCCAGGGTGCTCCAGGCATGAGGCACCACGCCTGGCCGAAAAGGGAGTTTCTGAGTAAGAAAATGCTGTGAGCAAAGGCACAGGAGCACAAAGAAAGCATCACTCATATTAAAGAAAGGGAAATAATGTAATGTGATTGCACCCAGGTAGGTGAAGTGGACTAAATAAGAAAACAAGATTGGGAGGTAACACAGACATTATTTTGAGGACACTAGGCTGAGTCAGGTCATCGTTCAGGGGTGTGGGGAGCCATTAAAGGTTTCTGAGCTGGAAAAGAGCGAATGCGAGTTTTACATTAGTAAGATCAACTTGGCAGCAGTATGGAGGGTAGAGTGGAGAGGACAGAAATATACAGCAGCTAGGCTGCTGGGAATATGAAAATGAAGCTCAGAAATAAACCAGGGGCCAGGTGTGGTGGCTCACACCTGTAATCCTAGCTCTCTGGGAGGCCGAGACAGGAGGAGAACTCGAGGGCAGGAGTTCAAGACCAGCCTGAGGAATAGCGAGACCCCTGTCTCTACTAAAAATAGAAAGAAATTAGCTGGACAACTAAAAATATATACAAAAAATTAGCTGGGCATGGTGGCACATGCCTGTAGTCCCAGCTACATGGGAGGCTAGGGCAGAAGGATTGCTTGAGCCCAGGAGTTTGAGGTTGCTGTGAGCTAGGCTGATGCCACAGCACTCTAGTCCTGGCAACAGAGCGAAACTCTGTCTCAAAAAAACCCAATAAATAAATAAACTAGGGACAGAGATACCAATTAACATGAGAACTGTCACAATAGTGAAGGTATTTGAAATGAGAGGGCAATATTGAAGGAAAATGCTTTAAGTATCTTAACAGTGTTTAATATTCTCTCACCTGTTCCCTCGCCCTTTGCCCCCAAAACCAAGACCATGAGCTCCTCAGTGTAGGCACTGTGTCTTATTCCTGTTTTCTCAGTGTTGGTCACAGTACACGACACACAATCTCAGTAAATATTTGCTAAAGAAAAAGAACATGCAGGGAAAGGAGAAAACATTTTTCTCAGAGAGATGGTAAGGCCAAAGGGATGATAATGCTGAAGAGTTCTGATACAATAGAGAGGAACTGAGGGACATTTTATTGGATGGCTTTTAATCTTTTCAGGAAAGCATCTGATGAGCTCAGAGCATCACATGATTGAGGATGGGGTTAAGGGCTTAAGTCCAGTGCAACAATTTGGAACAGCTGCAGCTAGAAATATACTTGGGACACTCCCATATGCCTGCATGGCTTTTTTAGTGCCTGTCTATATATCTGGAACGCTCCCTCCAGCCCTCTTCTCCCTGCCCCCGTCACCTCTCAGTTTACTCATCTTTCAAAGCCTATCTCAAATGCCACCAACCTTTTCGGGATACTCTCCCTGATACCATTTCAAGTAAATCATTTCTTTTTCTATGTTTATACTTCTTTCCTTGTTAATTTCACTTGATTGTAAATTACGAGAAGAGGGTTTTACTTATCTGAATAGCTTCCTCCAAATGTGATGAAAAGCAGTCATTCCATAAATGTTTGCTGCTGTTTAAATTGAATGAGTTTAAGAAAATTGAATGAGTTTAAGAAAATGAATGGCAGGGAGGACAAAGCTGAAGTCATATGCCCCGAAGTTTTGATGGCCTAGATCAGCATAGTTTTTGTGACTAACAGGAGTGAGGTGATGGACTAGGAGGGCCCAGGGAAATTTTAAAGAACCAGAGGTTGTGATGCAGACAGATGAAAATTCAGTAAAAATCAATTTTTTTTTCTGTTGGAGAAATTTGAATTTTGGTCTCCCTAACTGGGAAAACAAACACATGAAGCTCAAGTGAATTTTATGGAAGGAAGGAACATAATTTTTTTTCCATCTAACTTACTCTTACTAATCCACACTAAAGCCAACAAAGAAGGAAAATCAAACCATGAAGCCTTTGGTATCAGACCTGAAATTTAACCATTAACTTCTACTCTAATTCTTCAGTTCCTTCACTTGGATTTTCAACTTTTTTGAGAACAACACACTGATTTTTCAGATTCTCTTTTTCTCCTTCACTTCCAAACTTTATGGAAGAACAGTTAATGAACAGTTAAATGAACATAGTTGGGAAAAGAAATGGAGAGAGACAACTGTGGTTATATACTAACTAGATGGCTTTAGAAAACCTACATTCAAATCCTGGTTCTGCCATCTGTGAAATGGGGATAACTACTTGGAAAAGTTGTGGTGAAAAATGAACTAAATGGCATGTAAGCACCTAGCACAAGGAGCACAGTGGATTTGGAATAGGTCCTGTGCAGGTGGTAGCAAATGCAAAAGATAGAAAAGGGTACACAGGAGGAAGGTAAGTCCCCTCCCCATCCCTACCCTCTATTTTCTCAATTCTCCTCACAGTCAACTATTGACAGCCAGTTTGTGAACTCTTCCAGAAATATTCTATGCTTAATATGTGTATAGCTATACACTTGTATGTTTTCCTCCCTTCCTTAACTGTGTGACCTTCAGCATGTAAATCAAAATTCCTTAGCTATAAAATGGGGTGGTTCTGAGCATTTAATGAAATAATTAGTACTCTACAATTAAATGCTATACAAATACGAAGTGTTACTATTTTTGGAAAGAGAAGCAATGCCTAGCAAATATACTGTACTTTTATTTAGAACAGAGGTCACTTGGACACGTAGAATCAGCCCCGGGCTTGGCCACTTTGCACCACTGGGAGTACTCCCTTTCCTCATCTTGATATCAGCAGGAGAGGAAGGCTGAGAGCCACGCTGCTTGACCCTGCCTCGGTCTATCCCACAGGTGATCACTTACTCCAGTCGTCACGTCTACAATAACTTGACTGAAGAACAGAAGGGCCGAGTAGCCTTTGCTTCCAATTTCCTGGCAGGAGATGCCTCCCTGCAGATCGAGCCTCTGAAGCCCAGTGATGAGGGCCGGTACACCTGCAAGGTGAAGAATTCAGGGCGCTATGTGTGGAGCCATGTCATCTTAAAAGTCTTAGGTAAGACAGGGTGCCAAGGACAAATGCCTACATCTTAGTAATAAGGTCTCTGGAAGAGGGGGCCAAATGCAGCATGGTGGTACAAAACTTCATATTCAGTACCTTAAATTATCACCCAGACAGGTTCCCTGGGAAGAAGTGTGTATGTTCTGTATATTAACCATAATAAAAAAGAAAAATATAATTGTGATTTTCCATGGTAGCACATTATAAAATTTAAATATCCTCTAATATTTGAATAGTATGCTCACATTTAACTTAAATCTCTCAGATATGATTCAAATTCACTTGTTTTTTAACAGCAAGCACTACTAAGTTCTACTTAATTGCTTACAAATTAATGAACTTCTACCCTATTCCCTTCTATTTTTTTTTTTTTTTTTTTTTTTTGAGACAGAGTCTCGCTTTGTTGCCCAGGCTAGAGTGAGTGCCGTGGCATCAGCTTAGCTCACAACCACCTCAAACTCCTGGGCTCAAGCAATCCTACTGCCTCAGCCTCCCGAGTAGCTGGGACTACAGGCATGCGCCACCATGCCCGGCTAATTTTTTCTATATATTAGTTGGCCCATTAATTTCTTTCTATTTATAGTAGAGATGGGGGTCTCGCTCTTGCTCAGGTTGGTTTCAAACTCCTGACCTCGAGCAATCCGCTCGCCTCGGCCTCCCAGAGTGCTAGGATTACAGGCGTGAGCCTCTGCGCCTGGCCTCCCTATTCCCTTCTATCAGTAAAAAGATCATGCTCAACTTTCCTAAAATTTCCAATACATAACAGTGTGTCTTCTTTGACAAGCAATGAGGGAGTTTCTGGGGCAGCACCTGAAAATTACAGCAGCACCACTGGTAGCAGCTGGAACTTGGGGAGGTGGTGTGTGCACGGGGGAAGGAGGTGGTCATTTTGGGGCTAATGTAGAGCGTGGCTAGTTGAATCTCCACGTAAAGGTTTACCGTAAGGGATGGCTGGAGAAACAACTCAATAGGACATCATTTTTCCATTGAATCTGGTGTTTGGGGATCTTTGAATCATAACTTTTTTTTTGCTAGTGAAACCATCCAAGCCCAAGTGTGAGCTGGAAGGAGAGCTGACAGAAGGAAGTGACCTGACTTTGCAGTGTGAGTCATCCTCTGGCACAAAGCCCATTGTGTATTACTGGCAGCGAATCCGGGAGAAAGAGGGAGAGGATGAACATCTGCCTCCCAAATCTAGGATTGGTAAGTTATCTTCCTACCAGTAAATTGAGCCAACAAGATAATACTCTACCCATGAATCCTAAATTGACTTTGGCAGCAACTCACTCCTTGAATACACTGCTGAACCTCTTGAACTTCCATTTTTTTATCCATAAACTAGGACAGAAAATCTGTCTTTTCTTTCCTCAAATGACATGTAAAAGTGATTAAAAAAAAAAGATTAGAAGAAATATACTATAAAATCTACTATATCTATCTTGTTTAATATGCCTTAAATATTCATGATCTTTTGTAACTTTTGAGGATGTGCTACAATTTCAATGAATGCTTACATTTCTTCCCATGTTCCAAAAAGGGATCTTTTCCATCATTTCATCCTTTCCAAATTGTATTAAAGAATCTAGGCCGGGCGCAGTGGCTCACGCCTGTAATCCTAGCTCTCTGGGAGGCTGAGGCGGGCGGATCGTTTGAGCTCAGGAGTTCGAAACCAACCTGAGCAAGAGCGAGACCCCGTCTCTACTAAAAATAGAAAGAAATTAATTGGCCAACTAATATATAGAGAAAAAATTAGCCGGGCATGGTGGCGCATGCCTGTAGTCCCAGCTACTTGGGAGGCTGAGGCAGAAGGATTGCTTGAGCCCAGGAGTTTGAGGTTGCTGTGAGCTAGGCTGACGCCATGGCACTCACTCTAGCCTGGGCAACAAAGTGAGACTCTGTCTCAAAACAAAACAAAACAAAAAAAAACAAACCAATTTTATTAAAGAATCTTAGGTTAATGATGCAATAAACAATAAATATAGATGCTATCACTAAGGGATTTACAGTCATTCTTTCTGTTTGTGTAGACTACAACAACCCTGGACGAGTTCTGCTGCAGAATCTCACCATGTCCGCCTCTGGGCTTTACCAGTGCACAGCAGGCAACGAGGCTGGGAAGGAAACCTGTGTGGTGCGAGTGACCGTACAGTGTAAGCATCCAAAGGGGTTTTTGTTTCACTTTTTTATTTTTTGCATTGTGGTTCAGAATCAGGAGTAGGGTCAAAGTCTTTATTTCCAGAAGGATATGGCGATCACCAAAATAATTCAGTAGTTGTGCAAGGACTATTCAACAGCCGTATCTGACTCTATATTTACAAACATGTGAATTAATCAGCCCCCTAAAAATTTTACTATGTCTAGGAGAGAACTAAAGGAATACCAGTCTTAAAAAACAAATACAAACAAACAAAACTACCCAGCTAGTTATAAGCTACCTACCATAGATGAGATTTCCCCCTCCCCAGGGGCCTTGTGAATGCACATGTGCACACGTGCATGTGTGTGTACATGTATGTCATAATCGAGAATTAGATTTGTTTTAAGTTCAAGATGAGAGATAGCAGCAAGGCAACTAAAAGCATTAGCTTTGGAGCCACATAACTGCCTGGATTTCAATCACAGCTACCACTAACTGTGTAGTACCTTGTACAAGTTTCCCAATCTATAAAAAAGAATAATTACCTCATAGAGTTTTTATGAAAATTAAGTAAATTAATACATTTACTTACCACTGCCTAGGAACAGTGCCTGACACATGGTGAGTATTCAATAACATTAGCTATTATTATTATTAATATTTTCCCTTAATCTATATGGTAACTTTAGACTTCTGAACCAAAGCTCATTTCTATAAGCCATGCTAGCACTGTTAAAATTTATTTATACAAGCCTGGGCAACATTTCAAGACCCCATCTATAAAAAGTAAGAAAAATTAGCTGGGTGTGATGGCATGCACCTGTAGTTCCAGCTATGTGGGAGAAGGTCTCTTGAACTCAAGAGTTCAAAGCTGCAGTGAGCTGTCACCGTGTCACTGCACTCCAGCCTGGGCAACAGAACAAGACCTTGACTCCAAAACAAACACACAAACAAACACAAAAAACAAAACAAAAAAAATGAATTAATGCAATAAACAGTATGCCAGGCTCATAATTTAGAAAAGATTGAATCCTTTTTTTTAGACCAAGTCTCACTTTGTTGCCCAGGCTAGAGTGCTGTGGCATCAGCCTAGCTCACAGCAACCTCCAACTCTTGGGCTCAAGCAATCCTTCTGCCTCAGCCTCCCGCGTAGCTGGGACTACAGGCATGTGCCACCATGCCTGGCTAATTTTTTCTATATATTTTTAGTTGCCCAATTAATTTCTTTCTACTTTTAGTAGAGATGGGTTCTTGATCTTGCTCAGGTTGGTTTTGAACTCCTGACATTGAGCGATCCTCCTGCCTCTGCCTCCCAGAGTGCTAGGATTACAGGTGTGACTACTGCGCTCAGCCTAAAGATTGAATCTTGAAAAAAAGACAGGATAAACCGTTAAAAGACAAAAATGAACTGAGTGTGTATCTATTATCTATTTCTATATAACAAATTACCCCAAAACTTAGTGGCTTAGAATGAGTTTTATTATCTCTTAGTTTCTGTGAGTCAGAAATTCAGCAGTGGCTTAGCTGAGAGGTCTGGCTTGGTGTCTCCTCAGAGGAGATTTTGAGCACAAAGTCCACTAGTGCTGCAGTCATTGCAAGGCTCAGCTGGCGCTGGAGGATCTAGTTCTGAGATGGCTCTTTCACATGGCTCTTGGCCTCAGTGCCTCATCACATGGGCCTTTACATGAGGCTCTTAACAGAGCAGCTGGCTTCTCACAAAGTGAGTGATCCAAGAGAGGATTTAAGAAAGAATGGTTTGAGATCTAAGAGAGGGAGCTGCAATGCTTTTTTAATGATGTCTCAGATACAACATACCATCACTTTTGCTGTATTCTATTAATTAGAAGTGAGTCATTAAGTCCAGACTACAATCAAAGGGAAGAAAATGAAGGTGTACCTTTTGAAGGGAGAAGTAGCAAATAGCTATATAGACATATTTTTAAAATCTAATAACCAAAGTATATAAATACATAATAAAAAACTCTTTCAGCAGGGTGAAGTGGCTTATGGCTGTAATCCTAGTACTTTGGGAGGCCAAGGTGGAAGGATTGCTTGAGGTCAGGAGTTAGAGACTAGGCCCCATCTCTATTATTAATAAAAATAGAAAAATTAGCCAGGCACTTCCCTGCAGTTCCAGCTACTCAAGAGGCTGAGGTAGGAGGATCACTAGGGCCCAGGAATTTGAGATTGCAATGAGCTATGATGACATCACTGCACTCTAGCCTGGGTGAAAGAGTGAGACTCTGCCTCAATCAATAAAAAAAATAAAAATAAAAAACTCATTCAAATCAGTGAGAAAACAGCTAAACCAAAATGGGTACATGATGTTGTTGAAGTATAATTTTCAAAAAGGTAAAATCTTGACTCTGACAAATTATAGATTTTATTTATTATTAAGGGATCTAGTAAGATGTTAATAGTCCAAAGAGCATTTGAGAAATTAGGTATATAGACACAATTTAACAAAGAGACTTTTTTTTTTTTTTGGAGACAGAGTCTCACTCTGTTGCCCAGGCTAGAGAGAGTGCCATGGCATCAGCCTAGCTCACAGCAACCTCAGATTCCTGGGCTCAAGCGATCCTTCTGCCTCAGCCTCCCAAGTAGCTGGGACTACAGGCATGTGCCACCATGCCTGGCTAATTTTTTCTGTATATTTTTAGCTGTCCAATTAACTTCTATTTTTAGTAGAGACAGGGTCTCACTCTTGCTCAGGCTGGTTTCAAACTCCTGACCGTGAGTGATCTGCCTGCCTCAGCCTCCTAGAGTGCTAGGATTACAGGCGTGAGCCACCACGCCCAGCCTAACAAAGAGATTTTAAGATTGCTGGGTCAGACATCAAACTGGTTAATGTCCTACAAAGTCACAGACTGTAATTTCTGTGGTCATTTAACTACATCTGTAATTATTTCCATCTTTATTGGATGGAGGTCTACAAATTGCCCCCACAAAGTGGTAAACTGCCAAGCACTGTACTTCTTTTGTCTACTTTCTAGTTTTAGATAATTTTTCTTACAAATTTAACAGGCAGTTCACAGAAAAATAAATACAAATGGCCATTAAACATAAATAAGAGGCTAGGAAATCCCACCCTTTTTAAGCTATCTAATTAGTAAATACTAAAAATGTAGAATCAATTATTGGAAATGTTATAGGGAAATAGGTGATTTTACATTTTTGAATAGAGTATAAATTGGTGGCACAATTTAGCTTAATATATAGATCCGGGGAGGTAAGTATATTGAAGTAAAACATACACAAAAAAGGATAAGTATACAACCTGACAGATTTTCAAAAGTGAATACACCTGTGTAAGCAGCATCATGATTAAGAACCTGTTACTGGCTGGGTGCGGTGGCTCACGCCTGTAATCCTAGCTCTCTGGGAGGCTGAGGCGGGCGGATCGTTTGAGCTCAGGAGTTCGAAACCAACCTGAGCAAGAGCAAGACCCTGTCTCTACCATAAATAGAAAGAAATTAATTGGCCCCTAATATATATAGAAAAAATTAGCTGGGAATAGTGGCGCATGCCTGTAGTCCCAGCTACTTGGGAGGCTGAGGCAGAAGGATCGCTTGAGCAAAGGAGATTGAGGTTGCTGTGAGCCAGGCTGAGGCCATGGCACTCACTCTAGCCTGGGTAACAAAGTGAGACTCTGTCTCAAAAAAAAAGAACCTGTTACTACCTCTTGCCTGCCCTCTATTATCCAGATCTCTAACTTTATGGACTGCTTTTCCTATTTTATAACCTTCAGTGAATGGAATCATTCCAATTGTGTTTAGTTTCTTTCATCCCACATTATATTTATGAGATTTATCATTGTTTTTGCTTGTAGTTGTCATATGTTCATTCTCACTTTATAGTATTTCATCGTATGAGTATACCACAATTAGTAGCCTATTTTACTTCAGACGCAAAAATGCATTCCATTTTACCCAGCAATACTGTGAATTTAACTTCTAGAGACATTCTACAAGTGTGTAAATATGTATGAAAATGATATATTATTTTCAATTGTGAAAAACTAAAAGCAACCTAAATTTCTATTAATAGAAAATTCATCTATATTATGTGCATGTTGGGGCTGGGGCAGTGGGGAAAACAGCATTCCCTAATTGACATTGGTTAGGTAAAATAAATGCCAGTCCTTTGACACCTTAAATAAGATATCCAAAGTCCATTTATTTATTTTTAATTTTTTTTAAAAAAAGCCTACAGCACCGGGTATTCCAAGGCTGTCTCCCATCCAAGTACTAACCAGGTCCGACCCTGCTTAGCTTAGCTTCTGAGATTGGGTGACCAAAATCCAATTTATTTTAAAAACTGAATTATAAAGATAGTAGGAGAAGAATAAACAGCATGCCTTTAATCTTAGCACTTTGGGAGGCTGAGGAGTGAGGATTGCCTGAGGCCAGGAGTTCAAGACCAGGCTGACACCACTGCACTCTACCCTGGGTAAAAGAGGGAGACCCTGTCTCAATCAATCAATCAATCAATCAATAAATAAATAGCAAATTCTGTTGACTATACATCCAAAACATAGGCAATATCCATCTACCTGTTTCTATGTACATTACTTCTCCCCTAGCCACCATCATCTCTATCCCCCTAACTAGTGGCCCTGCTTCCTTTGCTACCTCTCCATGCTCCATTTTCTCTAGAGTAGCCATAGTGTACTTTCTCAAATATAATTCGGATCATGTTATCTTCCATTGCTCTTACAATAAAATCCTTGGCCAGGCATGATGGCACACACATATAATCTCAACACTTTGGAGGCTGAGGTGGGAAGATTGCTAGAGGCCAGCAGTTCCAGGCCAACCTGGGCAATATAGCAAGACGTTTCCATAAAAAATAAAAAAATTAGCCAGGCATGGTGGTACATGCCTGTAGTTCCAGCCACTTGGGAACCTGAGGTGGGGGGATCATTTGAGCCCTTGAGCCCAGGAGTTTCAACGCTGTAGTGAGCCATGATTGCACCACTGCATCCCAGCCTGGACAAGAAAGCAGGACCCCACTCCAAAATTAAAAAAAAAAAAAAATCTTTGCCATGGTCTGTAAGACCCTATGTGAGCTGGTCTCTTCCTGCCTCCATGACCTAATCTTCCTACATTCTCTTGCTCACTATGCTCCAGACCCATTCACATTCATCACACTTACTATTCCTGCTGCCTGGAATTCTCTGTTCCTAGATCATGACAAGATAAGTCTATTATATCATTTATATCTCAACTCAAATGTCTCCTCCTCAATGTCCTGATCACCCAAACTAAGTGGTATCCCTCTGTTCTCCCACTAAAATATTACTCACCCACTTTTGCCTCCATAGAATTTATCCATTTTCTGAAATTATCTTTATTTATTACCTGTTTTCCCCCTTCTGGAATGTAAACTCAACAAAAGCAGAAACCTTGCCTGTCTTCACCCATGCCTAGAACTGTGCTTGGCTCAGGGAAGGCACTTAATAGGTATTTGGTATATAAATGAAAAAGTGTGTGAATTACTAATGTGCAAATCACATTTATCTTTATTTCTGAATTTCTAGGACTCACTGGCAAATCCTAGAGTCTAACATTATAGGTGAAGTTCCTTTTTTAAAAAAATTAACTTTTATGGTATTCAAAGTTTAAATTTTTTTTTTTTTTTAGAGATAGAGTTTCACTCCCTCACCTAGGCTGAAGTGCAGTGGTGCAATCATGGCTCATTGTGGCCTTCAACTCTTGGGCTCAAGTGATCTTTCTGCCTCAGCTCTCAAGTAGTTGGGACTATAGGCATGCGCCACCACACCCAGCTAATTTTTAAGGTTCTTTCTGTAGAGATGGGGTCTTGCTTTGTTGTCCAGGCTGGTCTAGAACTCCTAGCCTCAAGTAATCCTCTGGCCTTAGGCCTCCCAAAGTGCTGGGATTACAGGAGTGAGCCACCACACCCAGCCTAAAGTGGTGTGTTTTTTTTAATATTCCTTTTTATTTTACTGGTGGGAGAAGGCAAAAATTAGAGAAAGCAGAGAAGTTGGCAAATCAGGGGATGGCCCAAACATTATCCTGTTATGGCTAACAAATCTTTAAGCATGATACGGTATCTCTCCCAGTCCCAGTTTTATTATCTGAATGAACCCAGACTTATTCACTAAAATCTGGACCAAATGCTGGTGAAGTCTATGATTCAGTAACTACAACTGCAAAAATATCAAGAGAGATAATCATATAACAAGAGAGCATAATGGGGATAGAAAGATAGATACCTTAAAACACTTATCCTGCCCAGGGCTTTTGTTTTTTGAATTAATGTATTTCCTAGCTTATGCCTGGTTTTCACTTGTACTTTTGCTTCTGAGAAAATAGATGTACAAAGCATCGGCATGGTTGCAGGAGCAGTGACAGGCATTGTGGCTGGAGCTCTGCTGATTTTCCTCTTGGTGTGGCTGTTAATCCGAAGGAAAGACAAAGAAAGATATGAAGAAGAGGAGAGACCTAATGAAATTCGGTAAACCTCCCCAAATCCCCACTTCCACTGAGTTTCCTTTCTAGAGCGAGCTCCATAGTGATCAGTCAACATAAATGTCTCCAGTTTCCTTTAAACCATAAATCTGTTGCAAGGATAATTCTGGTGGGGAGGAAGTTCCAGTCTAGGGACAAAAGGTCTGGTTTACCTGGACTTTACAGTGAAACTATCTATACTCAACAGAGACTCAGAAGTTCTACATGACATTACTTCTGATTCATTTCCATTCCTAAAAGGGCATGTAATAAAGAATGGGGTGTGGACCATGAAAGGGTTTATGTAGACAACCCCTAAATCAGGGGGCATGTCTGGACCATCTCAATGGTGAGAGCCTATCCTCCCAGTACAATAGAGTTGAGCTTCGGGCTAACAAACATACATTTGCCTAAACTAAGCATTAAGTTTTAAGAAATGAGGAAGTGGCCAGTCCTCTACGCTTGTAATCCTAGCACTTTGGGAGGCCAAGGCAGGAGGATTGCTTGAGCTCAGGAGTTCAAGACCAACCTGAGCAAGAACAAGAGCAAGAACATCTCTATTAAAAATAGAAAACTTAGCCGGGGAACTAAAAATAGAAAAAAATGAGCTGAGTCTGGTGGCACATCCCAATAGTCCCAGCTACTTGGGAGGCTTAGACAAGAGGATTGCTTGAGCCCAGGAGTTTGAGGTTGCTGTGAGCTAGGATGATGAGCCACCGGCCCATTGAGACTCTGTCTCAAAAAAAAAAAAAAAGAAAAGAAAAGAAAAGAAATGAGGAAGTGCCTATTTATTGGGAAACCTCAGAAGGAAACAACTATAGTGGAAGCTGACATAGTACTGCCAGTATTAAAGTTTATCTTTGCTGTTTTTTCTCTTCAGAGAAGATGCTGAAGCACCAAAAGCCCGCCTTGTGAAACCTAGCTCCTCTTCCTCAGGCTCTCGGAGCTCACGCTCTGGTTCTTCCTCCACTCGCTCCACAGCAAATAGTGCCTCACGCAGCCAGCGGACACTGTCGACTGAAGCAGCAACCCAGCCAGGGCTGGCCACCCAGGCATACAGCCTAGTGGGGCCAGATGGGAGAGGTTCTGAACCAAAGAAAGTCCACGCTACCCTGACCAAAGCAGAAACCACACCCAGCATGATCTCTAGCCAGAGCAGAGCCTTCCAAACTGTCTGAATTAGAACAGACTTGACTCCCATGCTTTCCTAGGAGTCAGGGTCTTAGGACTCTTCTAGTCATTGGAGCTCAGTCACCAGCCACTTAACCCCCTCGAACCAGATGAAAGGCCATTTAAGTAGCAGTGAGCATTGCATGGAACATATTCAGAAGAGCATTTTCCTTATATGACACCAAACAAGCAAAAGGATATAAGCTGATCATCTCCAAAAAGGCATCTCATTATGCCTTTAGACCAGAGCAGGAGAAAGCAGAGTCCAAATCTATTTGTTGACTAGGACCTGTGGTGAGAAGGCTGGGGAAAGGAGAGGTGAATACACTTAAAACTTCTCACCTGGGATGTTATGCATCAATGCTTTGATTCACCACTGTCAAGAAGAAATTGGATCTTGTTTGTAAATTTTCTATGCATTTCTGCAAACCTATTGGATTATTGTGATTATTCAGATAGTCAAGCAGAACTCACAGCCCTTCTATTACACCTACCTGCACCATGAGCTAACCACTTCTAAGAAACTCCAAAAAAGGAAACATGCCTCTTCTATTCTGACTTGACTTCATCTGTCATAAGGTCTGGATATTAATTTCGAGAGAAGTTGAAATAGAGGGAGATGGAGAAGAGTGAATGACTTTCCCATTCTACTACTAATCTTCCTACTTATATTGAACCTTACAATAAGAACTAAAAAAGGAGACCAAAATGTGGGACAAAAGACCTGTGAAAAGCTTTCCATTTTAATGATGTGCAGATTGCTGACAAACAGAAATAAATAGTGGAGCAATTGTGGATTTTCCCTCAAATCAGATACCTCTAAGGACTTCTCTGCTGGGTATCTCTGAAGGAAGAAAATATTCACATGTCATTTAACAACCTTGCTAGAGGAACATTTCCTCTTGTTCCAGAGGAAAAAGAGATCTAAGAATGCTGAAAGATCACTAAACATACCATTATAATCTCCTGTTTCTGAAAACATGTGAAACCAGAATTTCAAGACAGGCTGGACTAGAAAGGGAGATTAGATCAGTTTTCTCCTAATATGTCAAGGAAGACTATAAGGAAGTTTATAGTATTACACCAAACCTGGAGCTTCCTCCATTTCTTCCATTTTAGAAGGATGTGAACCTAGGACTTTTGATGATTCTACGCCTTAAATTATCAAAAAGATCAGGGATTGCCAATGTTTCCTAATGGCACTGCAAGTATATGCCATAATCATTCCCCTGAGGTTGAAAATGAGAAAAATTCAGTATTTTCCCAGCCTCAGCTCCCAAGAAATTCTAGCTTAGGGCTTGAAGGAAAGGGAACTAACATTCAGGGAAGAGACAGTGAGAATAACAATTGGGTGGCAGGAAAGGGCTGGGCTAGTGCCTGCTAACATTTTAGTTGTCAGCACCTTGGAAAGAATTAGCAAAAAGAATTTACCAGCATGAGCAATTATTAGAAAAGCTGACATATATATATATATATATGAAGGCATCTCAGAAGTGAAAACAACAACTTTCAATACAATAATTTGCTTTTTTTTTTAATAGTTTGGACTACTCTGATACCTACAGCACAAATGCTGAACCTCGAATAGCTCTTCAGGGACCCTAGCACAAATGTCAACTGATCACCATTGGTAAAGCAGAATACTTCTTGTCATTTAAAAGAGCAGCAGACCAGAAGAAAGAAAAAGTAATGCTGAATATGGTGATGAAAGCATTGTTTCTAAAATGGGAATCAGATGTTTAAAGGGAAAAGGTTGATCTGGGATGTTGCCCATTTTTCTGGTTTTTCATTCCTACATTTAATTCTCACGGCCGTGTCCTCACATAGTTGCACAGTGCAAAAATATTTCCTTCTGAAATCCCTAGGAGTTTATCCTTGGGTTAAAATCTTAACCTGAGTTTTGTCTTCCTCCAAAAAAGGTGGAAATAAGAGACATTGAGAAAGTAACATAAAGAATGCTATTAGTATAATTTAAGAAGACTGGCATATTCGGAATGCTTTTTATATTAACACTTTCATTGTAAGATATAAAACCCTTACTCTGACTACATTTTTATTCTTCTGATAGTGTGGTGTCCGGGCAACTTATCACTTCTGCTATGTAACTCTGAGACTTCTCATTCCTAGAGTACCTGAGCCAAACAAATACACTACGGAGGCTGCCGCGGTATCATCACTAGCTACTTGCTCTTACCATTATTTACTACCTTAGATCCTAAGGTTTCCTGTCTATGCCTTTGAAAGCAAAAATCAGTCCCCTCTGCACAAAAAGGAGGTTTAGATTATTTAAACACATTATCAGAAGACTAAAATACCAGTTGATTATCCAAATTATTTTCAGAAATCTATTCACTATCGAAATCTACAACAAACACACAGAACAGATTACACTAAGAGCAGAGGAATTCTAAGGAATTGAAGATTCTAAGAAGATATGGTGCTGAAGTCTTAGCAATGATAGTGCACTTATCTTTGAGTCAGATTCAGATATGTGACAGGTTCTGGATGTAAATTAGAGCTATTACTAGTTCCAAACCATATTCCGTTAACTTTGCAAGTCAAAGAAGTCTGAATCTTAAATATAAAACAAACAAAAAGGATAAAATAACTAAATGGTAGATGAAAAAAATGTTTGTAGGAAGAAGATGCAGATGGAATGATGTGGATGTTTAGAAAGTAACCATTTTAATAAAATATATAAACCAAACTTAATTTGTAAAATAATGGAAGCCTATGCCTTTGTTGTCACACTGTATAAAAACTATTTAAAAATTACTGTTGCAAAAAGATACACAATTTTGCTTTGTTCTGGTGTTAAGCTGTTTATATTTCAACTTTAACTTCTAAGTTGTAATTAGGACTGTCTGAACATCACAAAAACCAAATATTATAGGTGCATCTGTATCAGCAATTAAGAAATAAATAAGTGAAGGTGATACTGTAGGAGAGGCTGAAGCTCATATAACCTGCACTTGAAATTTGTTTACCAGCTTGCTGCCGACAGAACAGAAGAACTCAGACTGAATGATCTACTATTTATCGATTTCAGTCACAAATATAGCAAATACTATTTTCTCTCACAAGGCAAGATGCTAAGTAGTACAGGGGATACCAAGAGATGATAGAGTTGCTGCCTTAAGGACTTTCTCAAAATAACCATATTATAATTACTAAGCAAATATTTTGTGCCAAGGTGAAGTGCCAACAGAGAAACACACACTAAGGGGTTCAAACAAATCTGGAAAAATCTTCACAGAGGTCCACCATAAAATAATAGCAATAACAGTAATTACTTACTGAACCATTATCATGTGCCAGGCACATTATATACATTATAGATTATCTCAATTTCATATTCACATCAACCCTATAATGAGATACTTGTATTTTCATTTTGCAAATGAGAAAACTAAGGCTCAGAGAGGTTAGTCTGTAGTAGTCAGGATTTAAACCCAGCTACTATGTTAGCATATTCCACCAGAATTGTTAGATACTGATTAATCACCATTCTTCCTCCTAAAATCCTTAAACCTTTCAACCTCACTAGCATGGACATTTTGAGGAAAAAAAAATAATAAAATCCTTAAACCTTCACCCTAAAACAGGCGTCCTCAAACTATGGCCCACAGGCCACATGCAGGTGTTTTTGCCTGTTTGTTTTTTTACATCAAAATAAGATATGTGCAGTGTGCATAGGAATTTGTTCATAGTTTTTTTAAAACTATAGTCTGGCCCTCCAACGGTCTGAGGGACAGTGAACTGGCCCCCTGTTTAAAAAGTTCGAGGACCCCTGCCCTAAACTCTAGATTATCTCTTCTCTTTGCTTTCTTCCTTGCCCTAAAGTTTTTCACCATAACTGAGACACACTTACCTCACTCACAAAGTCCAAATTATTTAGTTTTTCCTTTCTTTACAAAATAGGATAAAATTTCCAACTTTATAATTGCCTGATTTGTTTTTACATGGTAAAGTAATGATGGGCTTAGATCATGTAATACATATGTTTTTTGGTGAAATGTTATAGAGTATCTTGAACACAAAAAGATTAATAAATTTAATTTGTCAGATCTTCTGAGAGGGAAAAAGATAAGCTGCATTGAAACTACAAAATAATAGGTACAGTTGATTCTCCAAAGATGACAAGGTCACATCAATTTATGAAAAATGTTTACAGAGTTCAAACACCTCAGGGACCCCATATTTGAAAGTAATTATGCTTATAATTATTTGGGCTAAACTTCCTTCTCCCTTTTGCTTGTATATCTTGTTTTTGTCACTACTCCTGAACGGAAAAGTTATAAAAAAAGGAAAATTCAATGAATTTTGCTACTTACAAGGAGCTCTGATAAAAATTAATAAAAAAATTAAAATTTAATAAAAAAAGAGGACAACTTATACAGCACCTCCTCTCCACGGTGCAGGGGCTAAACCAGATTACTTTTTTAAAGGAGTTTAAAAGTGGAAAGTAATCTAGCCTAAGAGTTAAAAGGATAAGCTGTGGAATTAAAGCACATCTGATTTTGAGAAATTCAAGTTCAGCTAGGGATCCCAAGCAAATTATTTGATCTACCTAAGCCTCAATTTACTTACCTGAAAATGGAGACAAGATCTGTCTTCTATTGGTTGTGAGGGTCACATAGAAGATATGTCAAGTGTTCACCACATTGCCCTGTACAAAAGCATTTAATGAAACAGCAATGGCAAGGACTCTACTACCAGTAAAATACTGCACTAGGCATATGGGTTATTCCAAAGCATACAGTCTGGTTAGGGAGGCAAGACATAATGGGGGGGAAAGATTGGGATTGTTTATATGTGTGCTGTTCTCCAATAGCAATAATTTATACATGGCTGCAGTTAGAAAGTCAAAATATTAATAACAGCTTAAGTCATTCTGGTTTCAAATTTCCTTGATGCAATGCAGTTAATACACTCAAGTCTTTGGGCAATTAGGGCATACATATATTGCATTTTTCAGTCATGACATTGGCTCCAAGGGTTGTTCTTAATATCTGGGATTCTGAAGTATAAAACTATAAGTACACCATTCTTAATATTAATTATTAAAAATGCATATCTAGAATATCACACCACATAATTCCTAATACAAATTACTCAATTAAATTCTAAACCTTAAACTTTCTCAAAAGAAAAAAAAGGCAAAGGGCTCTCTATTCTAGGTTGATTGCCTTGGCACTTGCATAGTGCCTAATGAATTGTGGCAACTTATTTAGAGGTTTCTTCAACTAACAGTACCCTAATTTTATTTCAATGATTTCCAGTAATGATACAGCAAAACAATGAATCTAGAAAACTTTAATTTGTTCTTTCTTACTCTGATCTGATCATTTTAGGGCCTTCTTTCCCTTCTCCCAGAACACTGGGGAAGTTGGTGACTTTCTACTAACTATCCCCAGAATGACTTGCTTTTTAAGAATTCAATCACATTCTATTGACACCCACGCCCACAACCACAAATGGACCCCACCAACCTGTTTCTCCTAATCTTCCTTATCAAACTTACTTTGAATCTTAAGCAACAAGACAGAAGTTAATATTTTATGAGTCTTGGATGTCTTTGAAAATTTCATAAGACCTTGGACTCTCTAATATATGCATAGTTAAGACTCCCAGAGAATAGGGGAAAGGACTGAAAGGACAAGTATTAGACATTTTACTTGTTATTTCATTTAAGCCTCAACCCTGGAGGCATTGTTTCACAGAAAGGGAAACTGAAGAAATTATCTCTATGTCAGAACTTGTAAATGGTTTGAATTCTAATTCAGATTTGACTCCAAACAAAGTCTTTATTCTTTCTACTTCCCCCTGATGCTTCAAGCATGGATACTTAATACTGACAAGAATTTCAGAGGCAGAATGTAGTCTCATCCAATTAAGGGTCATGAGAGACTTCAGAAACCACACAATCTAGGCTTCATTTTAATGTGACTTCACCTTTACACCAACATAGGTGTTTTATAGAGCAGAAAGCAGATGTTTTAAGAGTACAGACACCGTAGCCAGACTGAGTTTGAATTCCAGATTCCACAATCTTTGTGGCTTGGCTTAATCATTTAACCTTTCAGTGCCTTAGTTTCCTCATCTACACAATGGGAATCATAATAGTTGCTACCTCTCAGATACACGGTGGGAATTAAATGAGGTAATGTGTTCAAAGTACTGAGAACAGTGCTTGACATGTGATAGGCACACAAAAATATTAATCATTGGCCAGGCCTGGTGGCTCATGCCTGTAATCCTGGCACTCTGGGAGGCCGAGGTGGGCGGATTGCTCGAGGTCAGTTCACTGAGGCCAGGGCACTCACTCTAGCCTGGGCAACAAAGTGAGACTCTGTCTCAAAAAAAAAAAAAAAAAAAAAAAAAAAAAAAAAAAAGAATCATTATTCTATTCCCCAGTCAGAAACCCTGGGCTCCAGACTCCCCCACTGCAGTCCCATTTACCCAAACTGATTTTTAGATCCTCAATAAATGTGTTGTTTGAAACCTTGTGCAATTAAAGAGATGGAGAAAGGACGTTCATGATATTCTAAGCGTTAAGTATATAAACTCTAAACCATTCATTTACTAAGAACATAATCCAAATCTTAGAACACATTTTGAGAGTGTCCAGACAGAAGTTATTTGCTCTGCTTTCTTTACTGGTATTGGATGAAATACCCCAAACCAGTGGATTTGGGCCCCTGTTATATTTCCCACTGGTTCAATGATTAAACTGTACTGAGTTAAAAGGTTAATTACAAAAATGCAAAATGCAGGCTGTAGTTCAGAAAATGTACTTGTTACTCTAGGCTCTAGAGTGTGAAAAGATTGCAGATACCAAAGGAAATTGAAAAGAGCAGTTCACAGTACACATTTTCCTCTTTCCAGAGTTAAAGTGTGTTTCTAGAAAGGAAATTACATAATCAAAATAAAAAATCAAAGAATCTGGAATCAAAACAGCTAGATTTGATTCTAGCTTAGCCAGCTGTTTATCTTCCCACAACTAACATCTCTCAGTCTCATTTTTCTCCTAATACAGGGATGAATAATATATAGATTGGTGATTAATTGAAAGACTGTAAAATCGTTGTATATAATTAATTTCTTGGGAAGTAAAAAGCTAAGTATTTATCTCCAAGAGTTCCAAGCCAACATTCCCCACTAAAAGGGAAATAAAACAATTCTTCATGTTTGAATCTGTCTCTAGGCCTTACTGGCTTTGACAAGGACAAGGTGTCCTTACTCCTTTTACAGCCTCCTTCCCACTGTCTGGAGACCTTCTAATTCTAGCCCTGCTACTCAAAGTTCTTTCAGGGTTGCCACAAAAAATGTTTCACCTTTCCGTGCCCACCAATCCACTTAATAGGAATAAAAGCTGCTCTGCCAGTTTGAAAGGACACATGGAAAGCTTTCAAGGTACTGAGACAGGCTTTTAGAATGACAAGGGCCCAAATACTTGCCGCCATGCACAATTTAAAATTCTAGGCACCACTCTTTTGTGCACTACCTCAGTCAAGTTTCCAAGGCGTCTTTGCATGATCTGTCGCTTAGTTTCTGATAAAAGTCAAGGCAGGAAAGCTATTATCTCACGTTACTGAAAATTAAAAAAGCTCAGAAAGTCTAAATCAAGGACAGACGGCTACCGGAAGCTACGATTCCTAACGCCTGGTTCACATACATGGAAAAACTTGCCACCTTTTAAACCTGTACCTCCAACAAAAACGGAGAAATGCAGGGCTTGGGCGAGGGGGGAGGGACAGCGCCAAGAAACCGAATCTGTTCTGAGCGGTAAGTGGAGAGGGGCGCAGGGGTCTTGGCTCCTAGAAGCAGGTATGGCCATTTATTTCGCAGGGAGTCTGGTCGGGACCGTGTCCTCCTCGAGTCCTGAGAAGTGAGGCATCTGAAACCTCCACGTCGCGAAATGAAAATGCCGGGGGCCTTCCACGCTAACCTGCCCGATCCCGCGGCTGCCTGGCGGCTCCCTTCAAGCCCAAATCTGAGTTATCCTAACAGCACCCTGAAGCCGGAACTTTAGCCCCAGCCCCTCGGAGTCAGCCCTTGCGCAGAGCCACCATAGCTACGAAATGTGGGTACACGGACCCCGGGAGGGCTTAGGGAACCGTCTTGAAGACCGCGTTGAGGGGGACGGAAAAAGGAATGAGGACTCGGGTGGAGGAGGGGAACAACAACCTTCGCGGCCATTTTGTCCTCACTCCACTTCCGTCTTCTCTTCCCGGGCTCGCAGGCCCGGACCCCTCCCTTCATGCCTTGCGTTATTCCTTCCCCGATTCCGCGCTGGCCAAGATCGCAGCTAGCGCCGCTGTAATTGGTTGGCTCCAAGTTTGCCCGCCTTTCTTCCTCCTTTTTCCGCCCCCTCCTGCCCGCGCTGGATGGGGGCGCATGCGCAGAGGCGGACGCTCCCCTCCCCCGCCTGGGGTGACTGAGGACTCCCGCGCGCGGGCTCTCTTGGCCCCACCCTCCCTTTCCCGGGGCCGTTCGGGGAGAGGGGGCGACCGTGAAAGTTCCAGAACGCTGCGGTGAGTGCGTCATCGCAAGGCGGGGTGGAGTGGGGGCGGGCGGGGGCGAGGCCCGAGGAGCGAAGCCGGGTTCGTCATTGGGCCCCGTAAAGGTAGCCTGGCGCCCATTGGCCGAGGACGCCATGATGGGCAGCTGGCAGGGGCGGGCCCCTTCTGGAAGGTTCTGAGACAGGGTATAAGAGACAGGGTGGCGGGCGGAAACCGGTCTCATTGAACGCGGCGGCACCTTCGGGGTTTTCTGTGTGGTCTTGGCAAGCCGGCCGGCCCTGCAAGTGAGGTAAGGCCTCCGTCCTTTAAGGACTCGGTACCTGGTGGGAGGACGTAGGGCCTTAGAGGCAGGCCTAGTGGCTTTGCCGCGGCGCGGAGGGTTTCAGCGTTTTGTTGGTGAGTGTGCCCTGGGCCTGCCGCGCGGGTCGGCGGCTTTATTCTTCCAGTCTGGGCGGCGGCGGCGGCCTTTGGCCGCAGTTGGCAGGAGAGAGAAGCGTGGGGTGCGGGCTGGGCTGGCTGCCGGGGAGGCAGGGCGGCGCCCCGCGACCGCGTGGCGGGGGAGGGTTGCCGCATCCGCTTGCGCGGCGCGCGAGGGAAGTGGAGCCAGCGCCTCCCTGGCTCCTTGCTTAGTCAGTCTCACTTAGGCTCTTAAAGAAAACCGCCTTTGGCATGCACTCAAGACGGGGCTGCTTAGAATAGTTACAAAACAAATCGGATTGAGACTCCGGGAGCACTGGACTCTGGAGAGGGGAAGGAGATGGGTTCTGGTCGGGGCTGACCACGTGCTCGGCAACGTCGCGAGACCCTCAGGGCAGTGGCTCTTACAGCCTGGGGCACGCTCTGCTAGGGTTGGCACCGCAGCCTGGACTGCATCCTTATTTAAAATGACCCTCGCGCGTGCTTGCCTCAAAAGAGGCTGAACGTAATTTACTTGGTAAAGATCATTACAAGCTCTCTGGAGGAAATAGTTGAATATTTTGGAGTGATTTAACCAGTTTTTCAAACCACAAGCTTGTGTTTTTTCACGTTTTCAGCAACCATGTCTAAGGGACCTGCAGTTGGTATTGATCTTGGCACCACCTACTCTTGTGTGGGTGTCTTCCAGCATGGAAAGGTAGAGATAATTGCCAATGATCAGGGAAACCGAACCACTCCAAGCTACGTTGCCTTTACTGACACCGAACGATTGATCGGTGATGCTGCGAAGAATCAAGTTGCAATGAATCCCACCAACACGGTTTTTGGTGAGCCACTGATTTTAACTATGGGATGACTTTGAGAGGAATAGGAAATTGGATATTTAAGTAACTTGAGTTTTTCAAATGTGGCAACAAGGAAAGCCCTGAGGACTTGGGGGAACCCTTTTTTAAGATGAGATTAAATGTGCTGATACTAGTTTACTGTACAGTTCTGTGATTGTTAAGGCTAAAATTCAGATGCCTTAGTATATCAGAAAACTTAAGTGCACCTTTCCTACTTGTATGTTAGATGAATCCACATACCACTACCAACCTGGGAATTAAAATGATCAAGAGCTTGTTTTTTTATTGGGAAGCTCTAATGTAATGAATTTGGGGACAATTGTATATGATTTCTTTTACAGATGCCAAACGTCTGATTGGACGCAGATTTGATGATGCTGTTGTCCAGTCTGATATGAAGCATTGGCCCTTCGTGGTGGTGAATGATGCAGGCAGACCCAAGGTCCAAGTAGAATACAAGGGAGAGACAAAAAGTTTCTATCCCGAGGAGGTGTCATCTATGGTTCTGACTAAGATGAAGGAAATTGCAGAAGCCTATCTTGGAAAGGTGAGATTACTGCGTGTTACTACAGGGTGAGCACACAACACTAAGTACTGGTGATTCCCTAATGTGGCTATCTTAAATTTTTCCCTTTAGTATTTTTTTACATTAGGATATTCACACAGAACTAAATTTTTGACAGAAAAGTACATAAGTAGTTTAAAACTATTGGGAGTTTCCAACTTTTAATTTGCTGCTGGAATTTGAATGCGTATCAAAGTAGACAATTCGTGAGACTAATTTCTACAGACTGACTACAATAGTGTAGTATTAACCTGGTCTCTTCTCCTTCTAGACTGTTACCAATGCTGTGGTCACAGTCCCAGCTTACTTCAACGACTCTCAGCGTCAGGCTACCAAAGATGCTGGAACCATTGCTGGTCTCAATGTTCTTAGGATTATAAATGAACCCACCGCTGCTGCTATTGCTTATGGCTTAGATAAAAAGGTATGTACCTTTGTGATCTAAGTTGTTTAAAGATTAATTAGCCATCAGAATTTTACATGAGATTTTTTTTTAAATACAGGTTGGAGCTGAAAGAAATGTGCTGATCTTTGACCTGGGAGGTGGCACTTTTGATGTGTCAATCCTCACTATTGAGGATGGAATCTTTGAGGTCAAATCTACAGCCGGAGATACACACTTAGGTGGAGAAGACTTTGACAACCGAATGGTCAACCATTTTATTGCCGAATTCAAGCGCAAGCATAAGAAGGACATCAGTGAGAATAAGAGAGCTGTCCGACGCCTCCGTACTGCTTGTGAACGTGCTAAGCGTACTCTGTCTTCCAGCACCCAGGCCAGCATTGAGATTGATTCACTTTATGAAGGAATCGACTTCTATACTTCCATTACCCGTGCCCGATTTGAAGAATTGAATGCTGATCTGTTCCGTGGCACTCTGGACCCTGTAGAGAAAGCCCTTCGAGATGCCAAACTAGACAAGTCACAGATTCATGACATTGTCCTGGTTGGTGGTTCTACCCGCATCCCCAAGATTCAAAAGCTTTTGCAAGACTTCTTCAATGGAAAAGAACTGAATAAGAGTATCAACCCTGATGAGGCCGTTGCTTATGGTGCAGGTAAGTTCACCTTAATTTGAACAGTTAAGCCAACATGCAGGCAGCCTCTTAGGAGGCCTAAGCTGATTTCACTGTGATGAGTAATGAATTAAACATTTGTAGTTTCCACCAAAAGCTTGGCTGATGATGGCCTAACTTCCTTGGATTTCTGAGCAAGTGGTATTTGTTAATAGACATGATAGGAATTGTGTTCGGTCTTTTTTAATTTAAAATTCTTTTCTTTTTCAATAGCTGTCCAGGCGGCCATCCTGTCTGGAGACAAATCTGAGAACGTTCAAGATTTGCTACTCCTGGATGTCACTCCTCTTTCTCTTGGTATTGAAACTGCTGGTGGAGTTATGACTGTACTCATTAAGCGCAATACTACTATTCCTACCAAGCAGACACAGACCTTCACTACCTACTCTGACAACCAGCCTGGTGTGCTCATTCAGGTGTGTTTCTATATTGTCTTGCTTAGCTTTATGAGGTTAAAGCTGGGGAACTTCTGACCGCTGTGATGATGGATTCCAAAACCATTCGTAGTTTCCACCAGAATTCCTGTGTTGGCCAATTCCTTCCTTGGATGTCTGAGCGACTAATCTTCCCTAGTTGAGCTCTTAATACAAGAGTTAGCACTGAAACCTCAGGTCCATTGTTGTAATTAATGCTGTTCTCTACCTAGGTTTACGAAGGTGAACGTGCCATGACTAAGGATAACAACTTACTTGGCAAGTTTGAACTCACAGGCATACCTCCTGCTCCTCGGGGTGTTCCTCAGATTGAAGTCACTTTTGATATTGATGCCAATGGCATTCTCAATGTCTCTGCTGTGGACAAGAGCACAGGAAAGGAAAATAAGATTACCATCACTAATGACAAGGGTAAGCTGGCTCACATGGCATTGCCGTCTGGTTTGGACAAGGTGGTGTATTGCTATCTAGCCAAGAAGTAGATATTAATTATTATACGTGGAGATATACAGTGTTGATAGGTGGCAAGCTCTTCAGGTTGACCTTCCAGACATTTAAATCCCCTTAAAAAGGTTTTTTAATTTTTCATAGGTCGTTTGAGCAAGGAAGACATTGAACGTATGGTCCAGGAAGCTGAGAAGTACAAAGCTGAAGATGAGAAGCAGAGGGACAAAGTGTCATCAAAGAATTCACTTGAATCCTATGCATTCAACATGAAAGCAACTGTTGAAGATGAGAAACTTCAAGGCAAGATCAATGATGAGGACAAACAGAAGATTCTTGACAAGTGTAATGAAATTATCAACTGGCTTGATAAGAACCAGGTTTGTATCTTCATGCTACATGTCATGGGGGAGATGTATAAACCCTCAGGAAAACCTTGCCCTAAGATAAGTATAGGGTCACAATGATGAATGGTCCAAACATTCGCGGTTTCCACCAGAATTCAAATCATGTTGGCAACTATCTTCCTTGGATGTCTGAGTGACCCAAGATTTATAGGGCTAGCTTAGAGCTTGTGATAGTGGGGTTTTGGGACTGTAAACCTCTTTAAACCTGGTATAATCTATTTTAAAAATTTGAATAATGTTTTTTTTTTCCTTCAGACTGCAGAGAAAGAAGAATTTGAACATCAACAGAAGGAGCTGGAGAAAGTCTGCAACCCTATCATTACCAAGCTGTACCAGAGTGCAGGAGGCATGCCGGGAGGAATGCCAGGAGGAATGCCTGGGGGCTTCCCAGGTGGTGGAGCTCCTCCTTCTGGTGGTGCTTCCTCAGGCCCCACCATTGAAGAGGTTGATTAAGCCAACCCAAGCATAGATGCAGCAGTGTTCCACACAGTAAAAACATTGAAGGATCTAAATTTGTAGCAAATTATGTGGCAGATTTAAAGTTGAGCTGCTATAGTAAATTACTGGGCATTCTCAATACTTGAATATGGAACATGTGCACAGGGGAGGAAACAACATTGCACTTTATAAGCACTGTATTGTAAGTGGAAAATGCAATGTCTTAAATAAAACTGTATTTAAAATTGGCATTATATAATTGTTTGAAAGTAGTAATTGCACTTGGGCAGTCATACAAACCTGTGGAGTATTATCTCTTAAAGCCTGTTCACTGATTGTTACAAGGGCTGGGTGGTATCCTTGCAGAGCTGGCTATAAA